GAATTTACATGGCATAAGAACAAGGAAAAACTTAAGATTTTCCGTCCCCCCACCCTTAGGACCTCAGTGCTAACACCCATCTTGTCTTTCCTCTTCCTCCTCTCCCTAGAGCTTCTAACGTCTTTTTAGTAATTCCCCTTTAGTAATTCCAGGGAGATGAGATCCACGGGAGAGGCGACTCTTCAACGGGGTGCTGTAGGGTGCGTAGGAGTTGGTTAGGTGGAGATCTGTGGGAAGGACACTCTGGATAGCGAAACGATGCGAGCAAAGGCAGAGAGGAGGAACAATGCGTGATGTGCTCTGAGAACGTGAAGAGGGAAAAGCAGAGAGGCGGTTCCCCAGACTAGCAAAACATGAGGTTGGGACAAGATGATCCCAGGTGCCAATACCGCGCTAAGGATTTGGGATTCCATTCCTTGATGGATGAATGGGAAGCCATCGGCAATTTGTAGGCAAGGGCGTAAGGCCTGCAGGTGTGTGATTTCCTAGACAGACCATTGTGGTGGTTCTGTTGAGGTGGAAAGACTTGGGGGCAGGGGCCTAGGCATCTGCTCTCACCCACCATGAAAGATGCTGGCAGAGGAACGGGGTGAGGCGGAAGAGAGGTCTCCAGGGCTGGATCCCCGAGCCCCTGAGCAGGGAGACCAATAGGACAGAGAGACCTCTAGCGATGAGGCAAGGGAGAGGACAGCACTCAACAATGAGGTCAAGGCTGCAAGCCCAGGTCGTGCCAGTCCTCCAGGACAACGTGCAAGTTCACTCTTCGAGGCTCAGTACATTCCGTGTGTGTATCTACAGAAGGGAGTTACAGACACAGCTGATTTTGTGTTGACACACTCACTAAAAAAAGCATTAAGGGGGAAAAAAATCCCAAAGAGAGAATAAAGATTTTCTGAAAAGCATTCTTTGTCTTAAAAGGAAGCTAGCTGCATGCAAATGGAAAAACCTGGACAGGGAGTCGATTTGGGGCATCGGGGCGGCATCATGTCCTCCTGCAGGCCATGCCTCGGGGCTTTGAAACGGGGGTGGGGGGGTGGGGGTGGGACGTTGACAGGCTGGCCCTTGTTAGGGGAAACAAAAGTGGCTCCAAGGTGCAGGCGGCATACCTTCCCTTCTTTCCTTAGGAAAAAGAGCTACCCCATCATTTATCACAAGCTGAGTGACACCCAGCATTATTGCTGTCCTTTAGAAGAGGCACTCGGAGCTTTTTCAGATACTAAGACGCAGTCTGAAAAGAGCAGATGACACAGTGAAAAAAACGCTCATCTCTGAAAATATCTTGTTTTGTAGATTTGACTTGGGAATCGTGTACCTTTCCTTTATAACTATGAAGAGTCAAAATGAAAATGAAAAGTTACTTTAAAGAGCAAAAGCAACATGAAACAAACGAACCCAACTGTGCGCTGATGGGGTGGCTCACCACACCCAAGGGAGGCTGAAACTCAGCAAGTTGGAGGGAGACACCCCCGAGAAAAAAAAGAAGTAAAAAACAACAAGCAAGAACAACCAAGACAACTTAAACCATTCTCATCAATCATAGTATTAGTAATAATGCCATTGGTACTATAATTTCAACACTATTTTATGTATATTCTTATACTAATACATTATTGTATTGATGTGTAAAGTAAATACACTCTTATATTAACGTTAAGAACCAAGATTTTCAGCCAAAGAGAAAAGATATGAAAACACCCAAATCAGCCAAGTGAACATACCCTCGGAACCCTAAACTTGAACTGCAAGTGGTATGGACTCGTGATATAATTTCTTTGAAAAAAGGTTTGTCCTTCCCAGCTTTGCTCACTGTAATGACCTAGAAACAATGGCCGACCCAGGAATAACGGGCCAGCCTGGGGTCTCCGTGGACAATTTCCTGATGAAAGGAACCAGAGCTCCCTGGAGAAGTGGCTGGTTTCAGAACTGGGGCAGGAAATGTGTAAGATGGTCGTGGGACGCTTGTTCCATCGGAAAGCAAGGAGCCCACCCCTCCAAGATGATGGCGTTGGTGTCGAAAGGACTCATACCAATTCACTGGCTGCCGCCGGCTAATGATGGGACGGACCCCTTGAGAGCCTAAGAGAAGAACACCGGCCATGCATTGTTACACCGAATATGTTAACGTCTATAAGCTCGTGATGATACTAAAAATAATACAAAACAAACAAACAAAAACCCCCAAAACTCATTGGCTTCCTTTGCAGGAGGTTAAAGAACCAAATTATTTTTCTGAAAATTGGGAAATAAAAGAATTAAGCAATTGTCTTACCTTTCCTGTGAGAACTACATCTTTGTGTGATCATGTAGTCAATACAGAAAAGCTTGTTCTATGAAAGTAGTACCACTAATAAAGGAGTAACAGGATGAAAAGAGCACCGTTTTGCAAATGCCTGAAGCAATCGGTACATGGATCACAGCCCCCCACCCCTAGACCACCAGGCATCCTGTGCCTTTTGATGGACTAACTCAGCTACCCAGGAGATATTCTTGCCCCAAACTCTAACCTGATTCAGATCAAAAGTCTCGGTGCAATGACCGATTTACAGGAAATACAAAGGACTGAGAAACATGTTAAAAGGTACCACATAGATACAATGAACAAACTCGATATTGTGAGAAACTCTATAGAGCTCATGACCCAGTTTTTTTTTCTCCAATAAACAAATTGCAAGGAAAATAAGAGAGAGAGAGAGACATACACCACAGATCAAGGAAACTAAAAATTCATACCAGTGAAATGCAAATGTGTGGACCTTGTTTAAATCCTAACTCAAATTTGCTGTAAAAAAAAAATGTGTAGGCCTGGCTGGCATAGCTCAGTGGATTGAGCACGGGCTGCGAACCAAAGTGTCGCAGGTTCAATTCCCAGTCAGGGTACATGCCTGGGTTGCAGGCCATGACCCCCAGCAACCGCACATTGATGTTTCTCTCTGTCTCTCTCTCCCTCCATTCCCTCTCTAAAAATAAATAAATAAAATATTTTTTTTAAAGTATAGGCCAGAGATACAAGCAGGGAAATTTGAACACTGATTGGGTTTTTGATAATATTAATGAATTATTGCTAAGTGTTTGTGAATAATGCTGATAATGTGGTTATATATTTTAAAAGAGAGTCCCTCTCTTGTAAAGATTCACACTGAAATGTACATGTATAGAATAATATAATGTCTGGAATTTGCTTCAGATAATCCAGTGTCAGAAGGGCCATAGGTAGGTATAGATGAAATAAGAATGACCATGAACAGCCCTGGCGGGTGTGGCTCAGTGGATTGAGTGCCAGCCTGTGAATCAAAAGGTCACTGGTTCGATTCCCAGTCAGGGCACATGCCTGGGTTTTGGGCCAGGTCCCCAGCAGGGGGCACTCAAGAGGCAACCACACACTGATGTTTCTCTCCCTCTCTTTCTCCCTCCCTTCCCCTCTGTCTAAAAATAAATAAATAAAATCTTAGAAGAAAATAAAAAAAGAATGACCATGAAGGATGGTGGCTGGATCTCCAGGATGGGTAGATGGAGGTACTATTTTTTCTGCTTTTGTATATATTTGAAGTTTTCTGTAATAAAACACATAGGCATAAGAAACACAAACATGGCGGTTCTCTGGTTTAGTGACGTGTCCCAGGACAGACATATCAGGAGCCTTCTTAAACTCAGACACCGCAGCTGCATGGCTCTTTCAGATTCAGCAGTGGTGATCTTTCCCTCTTGGGAAATCAGGACTTGGACACGGACCTAATTTGAATGGGCTGATCTTATTTGAATAGCAGTCAACACAGGTTTGTACCTGAGACCTTTATGCTCAGTTGTCTATAAACCTTCTGTCTTGTATTTCTTGCCTGCAATTCAACCTATCGAAAACCGAGCTCACCAACTCCCTCTCAAATAAACACAGAGATCTGTCCTTCCCCCAGAGCCCCCGTCTAAGAGAATAGCACCACCAATCACCCTGTTTCCCAGAAAGAAATCTCAAGTAAACTCTATCATTTTCTTTTTCTTAGTTCCCTCCACGGCAGCCCCCATGACCCAGCCCACACTATTGATCTTCCCTCCAGGTGCCTTTTGAATGACCTTCGCCCAGTCCGTGTCACCGCCATATTTATCCTGGGCACCTGCAATAGGCTTCCTATCGATTCCTTAGAACTTAAAAGTTTTCTGTGGCTCCCTATGATTTCAGAACAAAACTCAAACTCCTCACCTTGGGATGCTCTGCATCTCCGGCAATGGCATACCTGGCATTATAGTAGGTGCTCAGTAAACAGATTCGCCGGTGGGTTTCTGGGAGGCACTCTCATCTAGAGGGGACTCTCTCACCAAGCTGCCCTTGTGTCTAAGCCCAGAATTAGCTCTTCATTTCTGACCCCAGCCTTTAATTCCAGGTGTCCGGTTTAAAATGGTTACAATAGGACAAAAAATAAAGGTGATGGAAACTCGAATTGTATGCTTAGGTGTGAGGGGTGCTACCTACCAGCTGTGTGACTCAGTCAAGCTCTTTGCTTGCCCCTTTGTAAGCTGAGGGCAATAAAACTAATCTTGTTAATTCTCACCTGAGGATATGTGTATTGATGAGAGAGAGAGAGAGAGGGAGAGAGAGAGACATTAATTGGTTGCCTCCCATATGTGCCCCAACTAGGGATCAAACCCACAACCCAGATGTGTGCCCTGAATGCGGATGGAACCCTCAACCTTTTGGTAAACAGGATGATGCTCCAACCAACTGAGCCACCCGGCCAGGGCAAAACTAATTCTGCAAGGGGATGGTGGGGGTCATTTCCATGAAGCATCTGCTTCGTTTAACTGTTTAGCCTATAATGGCTACTCTATGAATAGCTATACTGTGGATGATTAAGAACTATAAGGAAAAAGGAAATAAACGAGAAACAGAAGTATTCAATGAAGATACTGTGGCAGAAACTCCTAAGCAGCCCAAGATATAAATTTTCTATGTACAATCACCTCTTCTTCCCTCTGGGAGTCTGTCCGGGGTGGGGGGTGGCACTACTTACTTTTCCTGGAAGGGCCGCTTCGCTCCCATGGAGTCAACATAAAACACAAAAGGAGAAACATGGCAGCCCCCAGATATTTCTGTCACACTCCCCTTGTGTCAGCTACTGCTGCGATAATGGTGCGTAGCAACCCCCAAACCTGAGTGGCTCACAACAAACAGCATTTATGCCTCTCTCTCCCTCCCTCGGGTCTGGATATCAGCCGAGGTCCCCTGGGCTGGGACGCAGGGCAGCTCTCTGTGTCTCTCTCACTGGGGCCTGGGTGAGGGAGCAGTGGCCACCTGGAGCGAGGCCAGGTCACAGCACACAAGTATATTTAAAGCCTCTGCTTGCGTCACCTCTGCTCACAGGCCATCGGCCAAAGCAACTCTCAGGTCATGCCTCGGTGGAGTCGGCGAGTCCATGCTTTTATTCTGAAGCGAAGGCAGGAAGCCAGGGAGGGAAGAAAGAGTCGTGAGCCAACAACCCTGCCTACCACTCCAGCAAAACTTCGTACATTCGTGCATATTCGTACACTTATCTCAACGGTTATCAAAACCGTTTTGCATTTTTAGCATGGACAACCTATTGGGGGCAATGATTTCCTTATTCATTATCAGTTAGGAAAGTCAAATTTCCCTGGTTTATTTTTCCTACTGAAAAACAGAAGTTAATTACTTCTGGCCGATTCACCATGCTAATGTAAGATATAACTAATATGAATAAGAGGGGAAACGGAGTGGCATGTTAGAACTCTCTCCTCACAATATATCTGCAGATCTAAATCTATTCTCGGATAGCAAGTTTATTTAAAAAATGATAGAACCTAATTTTAATTTAAAAAGATATATGCACCTCTATATTCACTGTGACATTACTAGTAATAGACAAGATATGCCAAGATATGGAAGCAACCTAGATATACATCAATAGATGGATGGATAAAGAAGATGTGAAGTATATGTGTTATATGTTATATAATATAAAATATATAATGAAATATTACTCAGCCATAAAAAAGAATAAAATCTTGCCATTTGCGATAACATGGCTGAACTTAGAGGGTATTGTGCTATATGAAATAAGTCAAACGGAGAAAGACAAGTACCATATGATTTCACTTATAGTCTGTGGAATCTAAAAAAATGAAACAAAGGAATAAACAAAACAAAACAGAAACAGACCCATAAATAGAATAAGCTGACAGTTGCCAAAGGCAGGGGGTGGTGAGAATAGGAGTAACAAAAAAAAGTTAAACAGCCCTGGCTGGTGCATGGCTCAGTGATTGAGTGCTAGTCTATGAATCAAAAGGTCGCTAGTTCGATTCCCAGTCAGGGCACATGCCTGGGTTGTGGGCCAGGTTCCCAGCAGGGGGTGTGAGAGGCAACCACACATTGATGTTTCTCTTTTTCTCTTTCTCCCTCCCTTCTCCTCTCTAAAAAATAAATAACTAAAATCTTTTTAAAAAAATAAGCAAGTTGAAAAAACCATGTAATACTGAAAGATAGTTCATTAAAAAAAATAGGACCGGGGCATCCCTGGAGGATAAAGACGGAAGTTTAAGCATAGATTTTTAACACATTGCTTCACATTTACAGTCGTGCGACCCTGGGAAAGTCACTTAACTTCCTGGCATTTCAACTTCCTCATTTATGAAATATGATTACCATAGTTTCATTCTCACAGGACAGGGCAAAGACATAAAGGTCACATAACTAAGCCACGGGACATATGGCACACAATTATGGTGATCGTCATCTTTATTTATTAAATGATTTGTTTCGTTACTCACTCTCAAAGTATTCTCAATGGATTTCACATGATTACTTTCATAACCAAGTTAGAAAATTAGTCAGGAAATGTAAAATGACAAATGATATTGAAATAGCTAACCTTTAGACACTGCGTTTAGTTCTAAGATTTGGAATATATGAGGCCCAGCGTGAATTCCTAACGCTTCAAGTGCTTACCGTAATCGATACATAAAAACATGTCTATGTTGATAACCGAAGAGAGTCTGAATATTTGGAGGCTTTAGGCAAAAGGACTGTGAACGTTCCACAGAGGAATTACAGACCTTCCCATACACAAGCAAAAGCCTTCCGTGGGTCCCTGTGTTTCTTCACATGCTCTCCAAGGTGCCCTGTGACCCACGACCCCTGTCTGTCTCTCTGAACTCATCAGCGGTACTCCCACGCATCACCCTCCGCTCACTGAACTTCAAATTCTCAGAGCCTGTTCCTGCCCCAGGACCCTTGCACTTGCCCTCCCCTTTGCCTGGAGTGCTCTTCTCCTGCTTCTCCTCTTTCCAGCATCTCCACACATTTCCATTCCTCTTCAGAGAGACCTTCCCTGACCACCAGCCAAAGGGAGCCCCCTCCCCGGTGCTCTTTCCAAGTTACCGTGTAGTTCTTCACAGCACTGGTCACAGTCTTGCAGGACCTGGTACATCTAGTCACCCGCCATCTCTGTCTCCTGTGAGAATGCGAGCCCTCCGAGGGCAGGGCCCTTGCCCGGGCCGGTGTCCCCATGTCTCCAGCACTTGGCACAGTGCCTGACACAGGCTGGCAAAACGGTCAGAACCTTAGGAACCAAACGGAGGCAGCCACGTCCTTTGGCGAGGAGTGGGAAACGGAAGGGACTCGCAAAGTGGTCACGGAGGAGAGCAGGGTTAGGAGTTTACAGGAGGAACGAATTACAGGATTGGACATGGAAGGGGGCCGGGTCAGGCTGCTGCTTGGGAACCGTGGCTCAAGCGTATTCATAGCGTATTTATTCTTTCATGTGTCTATGGTTGCACTGCTATTCTTTTTTCAAATAATTTTTTATTTTCAATTACAGTTGACATCCAATATTACATTAATTTTAAGTGTATAGCCCAGTGATTAGACCTTTTAAAAAATATTTTATTTACTTATTTTTAGAGAGAGGGGAAGGGAAGACAGAGAGAAGGAGAGAAATACTGATGTGAGAGAGAAACATCAACGGCTGTCTCTCCTGCTCTCGTCCAGGGACCGAACCCGCAACCCAGACAGGTGACCTGACCGGGAATCGAACCGGTGGTCTTTCGCTCTGCGGGAAAGCGCCCAACCAACTGAGCCACACCAGTCAGAGCTGATCAGACATTTACACACCTTATGGAGTGATCACCCCAATAAATCTAGTACCCACCCCACACCACTTATAATTATTATAATATTATTTCTAAAAGGAATGAGTGTGTGTGTGTGTGACATACAGAGAAAGAGAAAAAGACAGAGAGACAAGCACCCGCCCCCGCCCACTCCCCTGCCCGAGAAACAGAACTGACACAGAAGCTTCTGTGCTCATCCCTGAACTTCCGCCCGGTGCCCTGGGGCCTGCGCTCTCTCCCAGCCGCTGCTGTTCACAGGAGCGTCTCCTCCACTTCACAGTCCCCGGGGACCCACGTGGGTGAACCAAAGGGCACTGGAGCCGTGGCAGTCCAGCACTATCAGTTCTTTCTACTTCCCTGTTATAAGCTGGGAATTAAGACAGTTCCCTTAATTTCAGGAGAAATGAAAATGACTTTTCTTTGGGCTATTGGGTAATTCCACACCCCTCCCCGCCCCCTGCTGCTCGTTCAGGTCCACGGGCCCCTATTTCAGGGGAACCTTCTCTTCTCTTGAGTGTAAATCTCAACACAGAAATTCGAAAGAATGACGCTGGAGGCAGCTGTATTTTTTTAAATCAAAACCAAAATATATACTCCAAATCCACCTTTCTCTTCCTTATTTTTCTCTCTTTTCAGAGAAAGAAGAAAAAATGTAGGTGTTTCTTTTAGGGCTTAATTCTCAGAAAGATAATGTCATACTGAGGCAGAGGCTCAGAAAACTGCTCTAGAAATCGGTGTGCACACACCCTGTTCTTTATGAACTGAAAGAAGTGTGAATGTGGGCCCTGGCCAGGTAGCTCAATGGGTTAGAGCAGTGTCCCAATACCTCAAGGTTGAGGGTTCAATCCCCAGTCAGGGCACATACAAGAATCAACCAATAAATGCATCCACAAGTGGGAAAACAAACTGATGTTTCTCTCTCTCTCCCTTCCTCTCTCTCTAAAATCAAAAAATAAATCAATAAATAGAAAAGTAGAGTGAATGAAGAAATGGAGCTGAAATGACAGTGGTCGGATGGCAAGGGAGACCAGGGTGTTCATTTTCTTTCATTTTTTCAGCGTTCTTTATCTTTAACATTTTCTCCTGTGGCCGATGAACCTGCCTCTATGAACTTGGTCCCTGGTGCCGTCATGTTGCTATTGTTTAAAATGTCCCCTCTTGTCCGTCATCTCAGGGCTACTCATCCATTATTTCTAGTTTGTTTTGTTGATCTGGCCCCTATTGTCACTATTTTAGGGAACTCCGAAGTCCTGGATCGTGGATGGAAAGCAAGGTGACCCTCTGCGTTTCCCTAAGGAGCCATGGGCCAGAGATGGTCAATATTTGCTCCACGAGTGATTGATTACCTTTCACGCCATGATTAAAGTTTAACTTTCATTGCACAACTGCTCTATCCGTAGAGATAAAAATAAATACTTGGGGACGTGTGTGACAATCCTTTCACTGGACTCCCCACAGTCTCTCTGGCTTCCCCCAATCCACTCTCTTCATAGCACTGTGGTGTGAAAACGAAAACATGGCCATGCCACGCGCCTGTGTAACACATTCAACGGCTCCCTAGTGCCCTCGGGATTCAGCCTGTGGTCCTTCTCTAAGCTGTAAGGTCCTGCGGGCTCTGGATGCTCACTGATATCTCCAGCTCCATCTCACGCCTGCTGTCTTTGAAGTTGGGGGTCAGGGAGCAAACCCTGAGGGGGGGTCGCTGAGGGACAGTCACAGCAGCAGAACCACATGGTATTGTGGACTAAGGACTATGTTATACAAATCAGAACATACATGTTTGTGCAAGAAGGTGGGGGAAAATGTTCACAAAGGAGGAACTGAGGACGAAGAGGATTCACTAACAAGTGCTGGTGGGAGTAGATGAGCCGGAGCTTGGGAACTCTGGAAGCCTGGTGCGTCCAGCTGATACAGGGGCCCATGAAAGGGGCTGATGTGGAAATCCACAGACGTTCACGGCTGCCGCCTGTGTGAATTCACAGCTCAGTGTC